AGAGGGAGAAGAATGAGTGGACACAAAGCTAAGGAATAGATGAGAGGCAGCCATGCAGGTGGGAGGCAGCCACAGGGAGCGGGGACCAACAGGCTGAGCCACAAGACCAGAGGCAGGAAGACTGAGAAAAGGAATTCAAGTCATTGTAAAAAACAAAACTGAATGGTTTGGCCCAGTGGCCAAATGGTTAAGAGAACCAGCCATCATATTCCAACCACACAGTTTGAATCCTGGCCCCTGAGACTTGAAACACACACAAGGCACTTGTGTGTGTGTGTGTGTTGTGTGTGCACGCATGCGTGCCCCAAATCCTGACAAGAGATTTGGAGAAGGGATTTTGACATGACCACGTTTTTTGGGGGGTGCTTTTGCCTTTCCCTTTCTCTGTGTCTCAATCTCTGACAAGCACTCACACCTTCTGGTAAAATAAAAATAAACCTTCACTGAATAATAACATATGAATGGACAGCAATCAGGGTAGTACTACAGAGACCTAAAGTATAGGTCAGTCACCTGGGTAAAGCGTCTTAATAACAGAGCAGGAGACAGTGCCTACTTGCGTGAAAACGAAGACCGCTTGCTTCCTGCAGTAGACATGTGAACTTCAGGAGCGGAAATGCTGCCCGTGCTGCTTGAGGAGCTGAAATCAGCTTCACTACCTGAAAAACAACAGTGGAGAGAAGCATGAAGGAAATGAAACCCGAGAACATGCTGGCCATCCCCTGCTTGTCCTCCCAGGGCCCTAGCTCCCTGCGTTTGTGTGCTCTAATTCAGCCTGTGCCAAGATTCCAGAGCTTCCAGGCTCAGCATTTCCCTCAAAGCAGACAAGAGGAGGCCCAAACACAAGGACATCATTTCATAAACACAGTGTGGAAGCACAGTAAGGCTGGTATAGACACGCGTGATCCACTGAAGGCAAGGAATGCACACCTCCTCCCTGTGTGTCGGGTTCTCACAACAACCCCATGCTACCAAGGCCCGTGCTTTAAAGCAACAGGACAAGCAATCTCATCGGTCCAAAACAAGATTTTGCAAGAGGTTGTTTTGGGCGTTTGCAGTCAGCTAATCATAGCTGAATTTGGCACGTTAGGTCAGGAGACAGTCAACCAGTTAGAAGCAGTCTGAACAAAACTTTTTGACCTGGCAAGATCTGATTGCTAACTTTCTCTAACTGTAGCTTCAGTTTTTCTTTAAAGAACAGAGCTTTGGCTCAGCCACAGTGGCACAGGCACTCAGGCTGCTGCTGCACAACCCTGAGGCCATATGGGAGGGCTCCTAGATTGCATCCCCATCCTTCCTAACTACCCAGGGTGCACCTGCAAGTGTACCCCCAGACCTGGCTGGCTGCAGGGCTCAGGGGAAGACTGTGGCATGAAAAACATGTCAAGGTCCTCCCCCCTCCCAATAAAGGAAATAAATTAATAAACTTAAAAAAACAGAACCTTAACAAAAAGAGGGAATTTAACATTTCCTAACACAACGATAGTGATAGAACCTATGAATTACACAAAGATCTGGAATTTTAGATTTGGAGTGGCATTGGTGCTGGGGTTGTTTAATAGTTTACAAAGATTACATTACGTTTTAAATATGGAATATGGCTGGGTGATTACACTAGAAACATGCTGCATGGTAGAGTAATTCAGATAAATTCAAATATATACATATATAATTTACATATATACATATATGTAACTACATACATATGTAGTTAGAATAAATTTATCTAAAAAAAATATATATATACACACATGTATATGTATACTAGGTTGTCAGAAAACTCATATGTTTCTATGTTTTTCTAGCAAAAATGCATCATGACTTTTCTGACAACCTAATAGTATTACAGTTCTGAGATAGTAATAATGAAAATATTTCCATAAATTTCTTGGGGAAAGTGAGGGAAAGGTTGAAGAGGCAAGGCAGAACAGTGGGAAGAAGGAAGAAGATACTGAAAAAAAAAATTCCACATGCTTTTGGAAAACAAATCTAGGTATAAAATTTGATTTGACTTTGTTACACCTATAACACAATCTGTGACTCTTCTGGCCCAAAACCTGGAGCCAGCTCACATTTCTGAGCTGAAAATATTATGAGTAATACAAATGCTTGAGTTTAACAAATAGTAAACAATAATTATTATCCTGATAATGACTAGTTATTGAGTGCCTACTGGTTCCAGGCCCCACATGAGATGTTTTTCATTCTTTATATTATTTATTCTTGGCAGTTTTGTAAGGTTGATATTAATCTCACTATTCTCCTACTGAGGAAACTGAAGCTGATTTGTCCAAGGCTTGTAGGTGATCTATGTTCTCCAGGACCAAATTCTCATGTTACTTCTACAACACCATTCTTTGTCTTCAGGAAGGTCATGAAAAGAAGAGGGGAATAGGTAAGCTTCCTAAATAAACTATACATTACCATCTCCCTAATAGGCCAAGATAAGCCACCGGTACAATATACAGTCAGACTTTGGCTCACTGGTGAACAGATTCCTGTCCCTGATAGGTTTTATTAGTTTTGCTAGAGGCAAAGATAGGCAGTGCAAAAGCAGAGAAAAATCTCTTTTTCAACTTCCAAGACCTCTCAGGAAGTCCAGCCTCTTCTGGAAAGAGATCAAGAATAACCCTTAGCTAGATGATAGCAGTGACTCCTAGTGCCCAGCAGAATTCTGGGAACATTAGGGCGGCAGTTTATTAGGACCCATGTCAGCTATTCCTTTCGGATTGCAGAAACCTTGGCTAATGATGTAATGAGCTCCTAGGAGCTTCCTGAACTTATTAATAATTAGTTGTCTCAAAAAAGAGGTAAAATACATAAAAAACATGAAGTGGAAAATTATTTGTTGAAGATAACATATATAGTAATAGCTTTGATTGAGTCAGTATACAGTGAATTCTAGATGGGAAAACTCATTTTATATGCTGTAGTAAGACACACTGAGTGAATGTAAAATAAACAAATTTAAAATAAAAATAAATAAATAATAAGTTGTCTCTGAGTAATGCATTGGCTAAATTGTATTTCAGAACTTTGAGGATTCATGATTGGTAATGTTATCCAACAAATGCCATGCCTGACAGCCTAATTCAAACAGCCTTGTCTGCTAGTAAATTATCAAGATGATTATTAAACAATAAAGATGGGGAATCTAAAAACAAGGTCCTGTGGGTTGAGCCACCAGGTTTAAAATATTATTTTCTAATGTGGAATTCTCACTCCAAAACACCTAGGTTTCATTCCTAAGCTACAAACAAAAACTCATCAATTATAATTGAACTGTGTAAAAACAGAAATTCTAGAACAAGAACAGACAATTGATGAAAATTCACTGTTACTTCATGATGCCTTTGATCTGTGATAATTACATTCTCTGAACCACAGAGAAAACTTTGTTCTATATTTTATTGCTACTCAAACTCAATATATTGACTCTTACATATTTGCAAGGCCTAAGGTCATTTTATTCCAGTTCTTTTCTATCTTAGCTTCTGCACATCTGAAAGAGATTAGAAGATACATTCAGGGTGCCCTGAAGCTGCATTCAAGACTATTTGAATAATATGATAATGAAAAATGTATATATTACTTCACAACTATTTTAGTTCATTATTTTAAAAAAACAAACCATTTATGCTTTGGTTAATGAAATATAAAATCAATGAGCTCTTTTCTGGAGTTGCACAGGAAAGCTAATTTTAATATGCCATCTGATATACTCTCCTCATTTAGAAGCAAAATTGCAGAGAAAAACTAGAGACCCATTTATCTATTAGTTGGCAACAAAGACAGAAGGAGGGCATTTCCTTTAAACAGTGTATGCAACTAGGATATTGTTGATGCTGTAGTTCAATGCTCTTGTGGATAATGAAAATCATGCACAAAGAGTACCTAACCTAAAAACATGGAACCTGAGTAAGAAGGCCCAGATCCAAATGCCACCTCTACTGTTCACTAGATGGAGGACTTAAGGTAAGTTACTCCACCTCTCCACACCTCAGTTTCCTAATCTGTTCAACGAAGGTGATAATCATAGGGCTTGCTTCATGGGGTTATTGTAAGTGATGAACACATTATACATACATACACATGCATACACACATGCTTTATATGTGCTTAGAAAAGCATCTGACCCATCATAAGCTCTCAGTGAGTGCTAGCTGCTTTTATTCTCCAGAAGTTAAAAAGACAACTTTTATTATACTACACAATTCTTTTGTATAAAACTTAGGGAAAAAAGCAATGATCAAGAAGGAAAAATATAGATTACAATTCCATAACCAAAAAATAACAGTTATCTTTCTGGTGTATGGGTGTTCAGAATTCATATTTAATCTATTATAAAATCTATTTATTTTTCTTTCTTTCTTTCTTTCTTTCTTTCTTTCTTTCTTTCTTTCTTTCTTTCTTTCTTTCTTTCTTTCTCTTTCTTTCTATTTTTTTTTTAGAGAGGTTTCACTATAGGGTGCTTATGCTCACCAGAGAGACAGAGACAGAAAGTGAGAAATCATCCCCGCCCCAGGGAGAATGGCCACACTACAATCTCTTCTCCTCCATTCTCCTCTTAAGATTTTGGGAATGCATGGACACATGGCTGGCATGAGTTTTAAGCCATCAGGTCCAGGACTTGAAAAGTGGTTGACTGTGGGAGTCCAGAGACATAACCATTACACTATCTGCTGGTTCCTATTTTTCTCTTTGTATAGTATAGGAAAAGCTTTAAAGCATACTGCCTTTTGTTTTATTTAAACAGTCATATGTGTAGGTTATGTCCAATTTTTCCATTATTAGGAACAAACACCAAATGTCAGAAACCATCCTATGGAACTTTACGTATTAACTCATTTATTTCTCAAGATATATAGGCCCCATGAGATAGAGACAAGTTTCAGCTCTGAGGCAGAGGTGAATGGCATGCACAAGGTGACGCAAGTACTGAGAAGTCAAAGCTGGAACTCAGGCCATTTGACTCCAGGCCCATTCTCTTAAACACAGGCTTAACATTCGATGGATCTCCTTGGGCATACAAATCTGTATTCTTGTCTTCTGGTCTCTTTAGAATAAATCCCTAAAAGGAGAATTTTTAAGTCAATTATATGTCAATTGGAATTCATTTAATACAAATTCCATAGAGATTTGGGGATGGCACTACTCTAAAGTACTTTTTGTGAACAAGAAAGTGTCTGCCCCATCTGCTTGTGTGTAGATACCCAACTGGAACATTTCTTTTGTCGCTAGGAAAACTCTGACAAAACATGGGAAACTATCTGGCCATTGAAAATTTGTTCTTTTGGAGCCGGGAGATGACGTAGTGGTTAAGGACGCTGGATTCCCACATGGCTGACTGCGGTTCAAGTCTCGGACCCAGCTACTTGCTTTCTCACATTCTCTCTCTCTGTCTTTCTCTGATCAAATTAAAACAAATAATATTAATAAAGTTAAATAAAAAAATAACTTAAAAAAAGAAAGAAAATTTGTGCTTGAAAAGCTCAAGGAAACTTTTATATATGCATTTCCAAGTCATTCCCATCCACACTGTCTTTGTTCCTCATCACTATTGTCTTTGATGAGCTGCCCAGGTTAGTGGAGCAGGATTTCAGACCGAGGAGAGGATGAATTTGATGACCTTTAGGATACCTTGCAATGCCAAGCTCTT